TTATTAATATACAAGTAGGAAAATAATGGATTACTGTTCTTTGTTCCCAAAGCAGGCTTACCTTATAAAAATCTGTCAGGGGGTTCCTAAATATAATGTTGTTGTGCAGGTTATTTAACTTTCCTGAATAATCTACATCCGAAGAAGAAATGAGCTCAAGAGCCCATGTTAACACCTGAAAGGTGCACAGAGGAACATTTGACAGAATGCAAACACTATTTTTATTTCTCTTACAATATGGATGACTCTTCCTGCACATCCTACGGGCATCAAGTACCAATGAGAACAATCGTTTTTGCATACTTGTTGTATATGGAAAGAGACTACAGATTTAAATGCTAAAACAGCAACCAATGTGAAATGTCACCTGGCTAGGGAGTTCAATTTGCTAATTACTTAAACAGATTTATTTTTAAACTATAAAAACAGCATGTTCCTCAGGAGAATTATTTTTTCCCCTTCCCCAAATAAATACAGTTAACACTTGCCAAGTAGAATTCTTCATCTGCAATTAAGAACCAAGTACTCAAAAACACACTGGGACAAGAGTGTCCCTGGGGGTCTCTCCCAGCGCTGTGCTTCTGGAAGAGATGCTTCATACAGGACACAGCGCCAACAAGCCTGCGTGCCCGATATACATCTTTCTAAAGCTTGAGTGGCCTTGAATCCTTGCAGGGACGAGGTTGTCACGACCACAAGCCCTCCCTTGGCACCTTGCTGTCTGCATTCCTTGCTGCTCCTGCCAAACAGCAGCAGCACTTCTGAAGCAGAGGCATGCCAGCAATGCAATCCCACGGCAGCCAGAGCAAGCTTGGTGAGGAGGCAGGGGGAAGCAAACAGATCGATTTGAAGGTTCAAGGTAAGATATGTGCTTGGTTTTAAGCTGCCAGTGAGACCACTCACGTAGAGTATGTGCTGGAACAGATCTGATGGGCTATGGCCAAAATAAACACAAGCCCGCTTCTGACCCAGAATTTTCTCCAGGTGAAGATGCTTGTTCATCTTATGTGACCTGGTTCTGTTTCAGTGAGATAAATTATTATCTTCCTGTTCCTCTTAATGACAGCAAGAGTGGTGTTGGGGTCCAGCTCCACAAGCAGCACCCCCTTCTGCAGTGATTACAGGCACTCATGGCACCCCAGAGAAACAAACCAGGTGATGAGCAGCATCCAACGGTCAGAAAAGCTTGTCCCAAGCCAAGATGAGCTGTAATTAAACCCAGTCAATCATCCCTTCTGTCTCAGCAACCCCAGGCATAAATGCAGCCAAGTGTGGTAGATCTTTGGCTTAAAGGGTCATTTTTGCCAAATTTGCCAAAACATTAGGGCTTAGGAAATTAAACAAATAGAGTCTTTGCATGACACAAAGCTTCTCATGGTGTGATCAATTTATTTTCAATGGCCAAGGGGAGGAAAACTTTTAAATAAAGTATCTAAGATATTTAGGATGGCATTAAACCCTTTTGCTGTAAGCAATCATTAAATAACTGATGTACAGCTTTTGAAGCACAGCAGCACTCCGCTACACAACAGCAAAGCTTTCCGCGACATACTCGTAGGGGGTTGCCATCTTCTCAAGACCCCAATGGTTCAAGCAGGTTCTCCCAGCCTGCTCCAACCTGCTCCCAGCCTGCTGCTTCATGTGCCTCACCCTCCAGACCATCATTCTGTTTCAAAAAGGTGACAGGAAACCATGTTTTGCAGTGCTAGATAATTTTCTGACACTGTCTCAAGGCCCTGGTTCTCAAGAGACTCGCTATACCTGTGCTTAACTTCAGTGTTTAATGGAGCTGGTCTGCAGCACAAACACTACTGTGTGCCCGTAAGTCTTTTCAGGAGGCACTACTGTTCACCAGCATGCTTTTACTCACTCTGGGCTTGCCTGCAAGTGTCAAAAATATATAACGACACTTTCAAAACTGAGCATGGAATTTTAGAAATAATAAGGCTGTAAAAGTTCAAGACTATCTGTGACAGACTAGAATGCGTCCTATGGGAAAAAAAATAATTAGGGTTTCACGTGCATAGCTATCTTAAAGAAAACTTTCCTTCAAAAACCAGAAAGATCAATCTTGCAATGAATATTAAAATATTGTCATTCTGTATTCCTACAAAATAATGCAGATAAACAATGATTTACGAATACAAAATTCAGCACACGTTCTCAAAACGTGACTCTGCAAGCAGGCAGGATATGGGATTTTGTTCTAGTCTACTTCTTTTTCCCCTCCTGTATTTAAAAATAAAGACAGAAAATTTCTTTGAACTTACATAATTCCACCCTGTTATTTTCCAGAGAGCTAAACTGGCCTTTTAAATTCTTTAAGCTTGGCATTGTATGAAAGCAGATATCAAATATTCAGAGAGCTCAATTTAGAAAGATCACTTTTCTGAGGCTGAGCCTTTCTTGAAGAGCTTCCTGCAGAGCTCCAGACAATGCCTCAAACAGCTATTCCCACTAGGCTGAGATCACTTGCCCTTGCCAAGCCATGTTTTAGGAGGCGTTGGGCCAAAGGGAGGTGCAGGCCTGATAGAAAGGTGAGAAGTGTGCAGGCTGTGAGGTGCCAGAGAAGCCAACTGCTGCAAACGACAACAATTTGTGAATATCAATCTGTTTAGCACAAGTGGTTGAGAACTGTGTCTTCTTTGCATGCAAAAAACTACAGTATCACCTGCCTAGTACTATGTTGCTGGCTTTTAACAAAATACACCTCTTCGGGACAAAATCGGAGTTCTCCAAAGCCTACGAAGAGACGCCCTTCTTGAATTCACTGGATTGTACAAAGGACCTCTGTGAAATGCACCACCAGTCAGTAGCAAAGCACGAGGCTGAAGCACCCACTGCTGCTGGATTTCATCTTTCAGTTACTTTTAGAGCACCCAGCAGATGCAGTTGTAACACAGTGCAGCAGGATCTTCTTCACACAGACAGAATCACAGAATCATTCATGTTGGAAAAGACCCTTGGGGTCATCGAGTCCAACCATCAGCCCTACTCTACGAAGTTCTCCCCTACACCATATTCCCCAGCATCTCATCTAAACAACCCTTAAACACACCCAGGGATGGTGACTCCATCACCTCCCTGGGCAGCCTATTCCACTGGCTGACCACTATTTATGGGAAAAATGTTTTCTTAAGGTCCAGTCTAAACCTCCCCCGTTGGGGATGCACTCGAGGCAGGAGAAGGTTTCTTCCTTCCTCCCCAAGCCTTGCCAGGTCACCCATAGGTACAGAGGCACTGTGTGGGTCAGCAGCAGTTCAATGCCTGCCAGAAGGCAGCAGTTCTCCCAGCATGGCTCTGAAGCCAGTTGTTTTCTTTTAATCCTACCAAGTCTTTCATATTTTCATGCTGCCTCCCGGCTGGCTCCTTGCTCTTCTAGATGAAGGAGCTGGTGCAGAAAGTTAAAAGAACTCATCAGTCTCAGCGTGGGCACTGGGAGTCCAGTCTTGCCCTCTAGGCCAGCAAAATCATAAAACAATAAGAAATACAACATTTGGGTCTTCATGCAGAAGGAAATGATCTACAGGGTACTGACATGTTTGCAATAACCTTGGCTGAAGAGTCACACCAGGTTTAAATACTTACACACCCTCCAGCCTTTTGCGGCTACTGGTTTTGCTGCAGCTCTGCAGGTGGAATCTCAGGCTGCTGAGACACTCGGTGCCTTGGCTAAGCCAACAGGAGGTTTTGGGTGCTGGACCAGGGGGATGTACCCTCTGAACAGGGCCACGCTGCTTGGACGCAGGAAGCCATCAGTGCCGCACAGCTTCTTCCCTCTGCCCCCCACACAGCCAAGCACGGGCTTTTTGCAAATCCCACTGTCCCTGGGACTGTCAATGGAAGGCACATCCCTCAGCTCCTTGGAAGGCCAGGCTTAAAGGAAGACCTATCCCTGCAGAAGGCAGACAGGAGCAGAGCTCAGGCTAACAGACACCATATACTCAGCTGGTGTTGTTAAGGCTGATGTTGAGTACCTATCTGCTTTGATCCCTTCATGACTAAATTAAACCACATTTCTGCCAAGCCGCCTCCTGCCATTCTCCTGAGCTGGTATTGTGGTTTAACCCCAGGCAGCAACTAAGCACCATGCAGCTGCTTGCTCGCTCCTAACCCCTCCCAGTGAGATGAAGAAGAGAATTGGAAAAAAACAGTAAAATTCCTTGGTTGAGATAATTTCTAGTCAAGAGTTTAAGTTTTAGTAAAATAACTAAACTAAAATAACAACAATAAATAAGAATTGTAATGAAAAGTAATATAATCAAAAAGAGAGAGAGAAATAAAACCCAAGACAAGACAAGTGACACACAGTGCAATTGCTCACCACCCGCTGACCGATGCCCCAGCAGCGATCCGCCCCTCCTGGCCAACTCCCCCCAGTTTATATACTGAGCCTGACACTATGGTATGGAATATCCCTTTGGATAGTTGGGGTCAGCTGTCCTGACCACGCTCCCTCCCAGCTTCTTGTCCACCTACTTTGCTGACGGAGCATGGGAAACTGAAAAATCCTTAACTTGAGATAAGTGCTACTTAGCAACAACTAAAACATCAGTGTGTTATCAACATTATTCTTACACTGAATCCAAAACACAGCACTCTGTCAGCTACTAGAAGAAAATTAACTCTATCCCAGCCAAAACCAGGACAGCTGGATGTTCAAAAGGGGCTCCTCAGACACTCTTTCTGCTCAAAGATTCATCTTTGTCCATTCAAGTCATCTACTTATCCTAGCTGTTAGCAAGGAACTGATTTTGAAAAGCTAATATGGGCAGGCTAGAGGCATTGCTCACCCCACGACCACTGTAAAATCAGAAAACACCAAAAGCATGCATCTAACTTGAACAAAATATCGCCCCTTTGACTTCATGTACTATGTAGCTAGGAAGATGTCCTATTTTAGGCTGCATGATTTTCCAAAAAGTTAGGAAGCCCAACTAACAGAGGGCTTTAAGAGCTTAAATGTATTATGACAGTTGTATTAGATATATTTTTAATACCTTTTCCAGTGCTTCTCTATCGACCAGCTCCTGCACAGCCAAAAGCTTGATACTGTAAGAAAAAACAGAGAGAAAAAAAAAAGAATGAATCATTCCATTGCAAGCATTACAGAGACATGGGTAACAGCAGAACTGAAGCTCTTTTTTAATATTCTCACTTCACAAAAAGTTTATAGAGGTACAGATAAAAAAGTGCTCAGGATATAATAAAGCAAAGCAAGAGAGAAGCAGTGTTACTTTTTTGCTTTGAATTAGCTGTCCCAAACAGCTTTTCTGGTTTCTGATTTACAAGCATATCTGAATTCACCTTACAGAGAAACTGCATTAATCTTTACATTTTTAATACCCTACATTAACACTGAAGGATCTTCTGCACAACAAACACAGAGAAAGACTCTAAACATTTATATAGTTTTTAGTCACCTTTGTTCTTCACTATCAACAGGTTTCTATGAGTCCCATAACAATTATTCCCAGGGATTTACAATACTATATATGAGGTATGGTAACTAAGACAATCCAGCTCAAGAAATTTGAGGGAGATATGAGGGAAATACGCATGACTGTTTCAAAGTAGGGTAGAGAGATAATCCATAATTATTATTCTTGTAATGCCATTCGCTAATCAAAACCAAATTTCTTCACCTACTGATTCTTTTATAAGTTTAGCTCTAGGGGCTAAATCCTGCACACTGAATTTCGTTCACTTCGACAAGATTATGAAAGTTAACTCAAGCAGGGTTTAGCCCTGTAAAACAGGTAAAAACAGAGCTAAATCAAGGTATATAAGAGAACCTTTTACAACTTTCATATCTTATCTATCCTCCTTCAACTTCAGTTACTTGCATGTGTCCCCATGTAATGCAAAAGCCCAATCCTTCCCATGCTAAGCAATTTCAGGACAAGATCTTGTTGCATCTCCACCAAGCTGCAGGGCTCACAGGACAGGTATGAGCCTGAAAAGTTTGCAAAGCATTGCCAGCAGGCTGAAGGAGGTGATCCTTCCCCTCTACGCAGCGCTGGTGAGGCCACACCTCACGCCTCCCCATCCCTGGGTACATGCCATCAACGGTCCACAGCAGGTGCCTTGGCCAGAGAGTAGAAGGGAGAACATCCACTTACAGAGTCGGCCATCTACTTTAGGACAGCATGGTTACGATTCAGCCCTCTTAAACTTCAGCTCTCTACGGCTTTCGTGACTAATCAAAGCTAATGTTTAGGTTCACTATATGGTCAATGAAATGAGAGAGGAACCTCACTCTCCAGGGCAGTTCAACCCACCTATCCTGGCAGCATCCCCGATGTCCTCTCACAAAGGCAGAAGCTGCTGTCACACTACGGCTGCCCCAAGTCAGGCTCGTAGAAAGCTGCCAGGCTTTTTACTCATGGAGTAGATGAGTATTGCAACTCCAGCTACTCACCTTCCTTACTCAGACTTAAACAATGGTTGCTTAATATATTATCCTTGGGCTCCAGAGGTTCATTTCCTTTACCCAAGGATACAAAACATTGGTGTGGCAGTGCATGAATCAAATGATGCATATAAATATTGTTTAAATGACTCTCACAACTCTGTAGACAGACACAGCAAAGAGTCAGTATAGTTAAAAGCTCATATTCAAAACTGTGCAAACAGTCGATGTAGAAGTCTGCCAAAGTATATAATTAGCCACATACTACAAGAAGCTTTATTAGCTTTTCAAAACCTCAGAGCAACGTTGTGAATTCTTGAACATCCACTGACATAGAATAGTTTGGGTTGGAAGGGACCTTAAAGATCACCTAGTCCCAACCCCCCTGCCACGGGCAGGGACACTCTTCAGCAGCCCAGGTTGCCCAAAGCCCCGTCCAACGACACTGCCAGGGAGGGGGCAGCCACAGCTTCTCTGGGAAACCTGTTCCAGTGCCTCACCACCCTCACAGGGAAGAACTTCTTCCTTAGATCTAATCTAAATCTCTCCTCTTTCAGTTTAAAGCCATTACCTCGTCCTGTTACTACATGCCCTTGTAAAAAGTCCTTCTCCATCTTTCCTGTAGCCTCCTTTAGGTACTGGAAGGCTGCTATAAGGTCTCCCCAGAGCCTTCTCTTCTCCAGGCTGAACACCCCCAACTCTCTCAGCCTGTCCTCACAGGGGACATGCTCCAGCTCCCTGATCATCTTTGTGGCCTCCTCTGGACCTGCTCGAGCAGGTCCATGTCCTTCTTATACTGGGGGTCACAGAGCTGAATGCAGTACTCCATGTGGAGTCTCACAAGAGTGGAGTAGAGGGGCAGAATCACCTCCCTCGACCTGCTGGCCACACTTCTTGATGCAGCCCAGGATACTGTTGGTTTTCTGGGCCGCAAGCACACATTGATAGGTCATGAGGAGCTTCTCATCAAGCAACTTTCCCAATTCCTTCTCTGCAGGGCTGCATTCAATCCATTCTCCTCCCAGCCTGCATTTATGCTTGGGATTGCCTTGACCCATGTGCAGGACCTTGCACTTGGCCTTGTTGAACTTCATGTTTGTACAGCCCCACCTCTCCAGCCTGTCCAGGTCCCTCTGGATGGCACATCCCTTCCCTCCAGTGTGTCAACTGCACTACAGAGCTTGGTGTTGTCGGCAAATTTGCATACTTAATCCCACTGTCCATATCACCCACAAAGTTGTTAAACAGCACCAGTCTCAACACTGATCCCTGAGGAACATCACTCATCACTGCTCTCCACTTGGACATCGAGCTGTTGACGGCAACATTTTGAGTGCGACCATCCAACCAATTCCTTATCCACCAAGTGGTCCATCTGTCAAATCCATATCTTTCCAATTTAGAGACAAGGATGTCATGCAGGGCAGTGTTAAATGCTTTGTACAAATTCAGGTAGATAACGTCAGTTGCTCCTCCCTTAGTCATCAGCGCTGTAATCCCATTATAAAAGGCCACCAAACTTGTCAGGCATGATTTAATCTTAGTGAAGCCATGTTGCCTGTCACCAATCACCTCCCTATTTCCCGTGTGCCCTAGCATAGTTTCCAGGAGGATCTGCTCAATGATCTTGCCAGGCACAGAGGTGAGACTGACTGGCCTGTAGTTTCCCAGATCTTCTTTTTTTCCCTTTTTAAGAATGGAGGTTATGTTTCCCCTTTTCCAGCTAGTGGGAACTTTACCAGACTGTCACAACTTCTCAAATATGATGGAGAGTGCTTTAGCCACTTCATCCACCCATTTCCTCAGGACCCACGGATGCCTCTCATCAGGTCCCATGGACTTGTGCACCTTCAGGTTCCTTAGATGGTCTCTTACACACTAAATATGTACATCCAACCTGTAACAGCAGCTGGCAAAACATGACTTTAGTCCTGTCCTACTGTGTTACAGTGTTTTCCACTACAGGTATTCACAGCCTAACCCATAAACATGAATGTGTTTTCACTTTAACGCACTTCTAGTTTTCAGATGTCTTGAAAGCATCATAAAAAGTCTGTATACAATGAATTATAAAATAGCCCCAGACCATACGTTTCCAGTCTGTAGAGGTTATTATTACTAAGACAGAGAGGGTGGATATGGTTCAGAAAACAATGGAATAATCAGGAAAAATAAAAAGGTATTCCATTAAAGCCCAACTACTACAGTAGCAGGGGGCACATGATGTTCTGTTACCATTTGGTGAACACACTAGGCTGTACACAAGAATTCAGCTGAACTGGAAGGTACTTAGCAAAAGTACAAAGCCAATACAAGGTATTTTTTAACATTATTTTCTTTGCAATTCAGCCAGCAAGCAAAATAAAGATGGGATGGGCACGGAACAAAGGCGGCACTTCCATTTAAAATGCTGTGTCCAACCCTGAGCTTCAGAAAGAGCCTAGGCTGATGCATCTTGGAGAACAAAGCTCACTAACATAGGCAGTAGCAATGCAGCCACAAACAAGACATGTCTGTGAATTCAGGACTCGTCTCCTAGTTTTGGATGACCCACCTCTGTTGCAGTGAACTTCAGAAAAACACAGGACCAATGAGAGGTAGGTAGTCTAACATGCATATGGAGGCATCCAGGATGCTCACAGCTAGCTGGTCTGCTGCAAAGGTTGCTTCAAGTCCATGTGTACATAGTAAAATCTAACATGTTGCCATTCCCTTCTGCAAGCTGTACAATGTGGGTTTTGTTATGCAAATTACTTTTGTCTTTTACCTTTTGAAGTCAGAGACTTTTCAATCACTTAATCATCAAAAGGTAGAATTCATCAATTGGCTGGATGGGGCCCAGAGTTGTGGTGAACGGAGTTAAATCCAGTTGGTGGCCGGTCACGAGTGGTGTCCCCCAGGGCTCGGTGTTGGGGCCACTCCTGTTTAACATCTTTATTGATGATCTCGAAGAGGGGATCGAGTGCACCCTCAGTCAGTTTGCAGGTGACACCAGGTTGGGTGGGAGTGTTGATCTGCTTGAGGGTAGGGAGGCTCTGCAGAGAGACCTGGACAGGCTGGAGCCATGGGCTGAGCCCAACTGGGGGAGTTTCAATGAGGCCAAATGCCGGGGGCTGCCCTTGGGCCACAACAACCCCCAGCAGCGCTACAGGCTTGGGGAGGAGTGGCTGGAGAGCTGCCAGTCAGAGAGGGACCTGGGGGTGTGATTGACAGCCGGCTGAACATGAGCCAGCAGTGTGCCCAGGTGGCCAAGAAGGCCAATGGCATCCTGGCTTGTGTCAGCAATAGCGTGGCCAGCAGGGACAGGGAAGGGATCTGACCCCTGTACTGGGAACTGGTGAGGCTGCACCTCGATTCCTGTGTTCAGTTTTGGGCCCCTCACTACAAAAAGGGACATTGAATTATTTGAGGTCTCAAGGAATCAGCAAATGCAAATATCAGCCTTCATACAACCACCTGCAAGATGCTTTTTGCTGTCTCTGATCATTGGATTATAGTACACTACCTGGAAAAGATAACCAGTTATTTTCTGCTATTTCTTCTAGCAATTCCAAAGCAACATCAGCATGTTACATGTTACTTTATGCAATGTCAACTTGGAAATGCAGCTTCTTTCAAGGCTGCTACTTTGGGG